TTTTTTTTTTTTTTACAGGAAAACAGCTGATCAGTCAAAAGCTGCAAAATGCGCAGCTGATACTGAGAGATGACCTGAAGCTTTTTCTTCACTTGTGCCATTCTGCAGATGACATGCTGATGGCCAGAGATGCCATTTATAGGTATAGTATATCTTTTATTAAAAGTTTTGTAAAGCAAAGGAGACCATCTCAGCACCAAAATTTGCTCTGATTCTCTGTGCTGTAATTCACGGACATTAGAAAGAAAGAAAGAAAGAAAGAAATTAGATTCTTCCCACTTCACAGAGCAAAAAAAAAAAAAAAACACCATCTTTTCAATATGGCTTTGACTATCGTTGTGTATCTGAATTATGAATAGATGATCCTTCAATTTGCACCCCCAAGGTATCACAAAGAGAACCAGAACTTTGCATTCAGAGAGTTCAAGTTTGGTCCCCTCTTCGTGAGGCAGTGTTATGAGCTGGGCCTGGAGGAGTTAGCTGCTGCTACACTTACAGATGAGGTAAATCAACTAAAATAACCAAAACATTGACTATTAAACAAAATTACCATATGGATAAAAACAAGACAGGATTGATATTTCTCTAGGAGCTTGTTAACGTTTCCTTTCCCGTGTCTGAACAGAAAATGAGAGGATTCTTTAACGACTCAACCTCCTTTAACATCACCATAGACATGTTATTCACAAAAGGCTTGTATGAAAGTAAGTGACAGATCGACCATCTAGTGTTTTGTTCTCCTGAAATTATCATCACATGTATATGATATTGCAATTGCAGAGGCCCTGGAGGTACTACGGACAATGAAGATCCAAGGTGTAACATTCAACATGGACACAGTGACACTGGCAGCTGGCACCTGCTATAAACTGGTAACAGTTAAATGAATTGAAGTTTATTTTATTGCAGTCCCAAGTGTTGTGGGGGTGTTAATGGTTTAAGAAAACTCTTCACAGTCAGTTAATGTTCTCTTTTGTTTTTGGTCAGAACACACCAACGTCGTACGAGATCTGCTCTTCTGTGATCGAGGATAAACAGTCCAAAGGGTTCTTAATCTCAAAACAAGCTTACTGCTTTCTTGTAGCGTTAGCAATTCGACAGGTGAGTTAACAAATTCTTCTTCAGTTCCTTTCATCCATGATAGACGGATGTGGAGAACATTAAAACATCATCAATAATCTGTTTTCTCTTTTTTTTAATTTCCAGAATGACATTAAAAAGGCAAAGTCATTGTATTCACAATTAAGAAGCTTTGACTACAAATTATCTCAAAATTTGATGGTAAGGGTGCATCATGTAACTGTAGTGGACATTATTTCTGCTGCTGTTGTTCAAGTATTATTTTTATTTTTACATTTAGGTTTTAATATTAGCAATGACAGGAGCAGTGGAAGATGCCGTATCCATCCTGTCTGCAGCCGTGTTGCCTAACAGACCGACTTTTGTGAAGACGCCTAAATTTTCAGAACATGTGGTAAGACAAACATCTGACTATTTAAAAAAAAAAACGTATTAATAGCTTATTTTCAAAAAAAATACGTAAGACTGCAGGTTAGTTTAGGATGCTGTAAGTCAGTGTTTAAACATATTCCTGCCATTTATATTAGTGGTTTCTTTCAGGTTTTTTTTAAAATCATTTACTGTACAATTTTTCTGTCAACAGGATAGTGGCAAACCTAGCTTTAAAATAAAAATGTTTGAGGTGTCCTTTACGGTGACTATTGATACATAGTTAGCTCAGTGGCCTCTTGTGACCTTTTTTCAGTTGGATGTGCTGCGCTCGTGTAGCAATGACGGACCACACATGATGGAAGTGGAGCAGGTAGTGGCTAACCTCAAGCAAGCCGATCAGGTGACCAGTCAGACCCTCGATGATATGCTCTGCCACACGCCCAAAGGGAAGAGTAAGCAAGTAGTAGTGGTGCAGGCGAGGAAGACCAGCCGAAGGACCTTGAAGCCACTAAACACTATTCTGGTGTCAGAGTGAGAGAAGCTATGTGCCGTACCAAAGCCAAGTCACATCAGTCTGTTCACTAAAGGGTCTAATCTGAGACTTAAAGGAACCCGTCAAAAATGAATGACTCTGGCTTGACTTTGTCATTATAGCTTCGTCTACTTAATCTACAGTCATCAACCTTTTGATTTCGTCCCTATGCCACAGTTTTTGAAAAAGGTCACAGTTCATGTTTGTGCAACTTGCACTTTAACAGAAAGCAGATGAAATAAAGTTGCAGAAGTAACACCATCTACCTAAATGGGTATTGATTTCCTTGCAAGGATCTCTGTGTATAATGTGTTGTATATAATGTGTTGATTGAGTGATTAAAGATGAATCAGATTTACTTAAAAAACAAGTGTTTCATTGTGTGTGGGATTGCTGGTCCTTTCACTGTAGCTCAACCATGAACATCTACATTTATTCAATAGATAGTGAAAGGTTGGTTTAATGTATGCATTGTAGTGTGTTCACACCATATAGTTGTTTCCCACTGTCCTCTAACCAGTAGTAGTCCCAATGTTTGCCTCCCATATATTACCATTACATTTAAATCACAGAGCTAAGCATCTGTTTTTCCAAAAATAATCATCTTTGATAAACCCAGACGATCTCAACAACACTTCCAGCTGTTCTATATGTATTTTGATCTGCTTCAAACCACCTTTTCCCAAAGTGCACCACTGTCTCCTAATTCAAACCCTGTTTCATCACTGTTAATATGGGCACCTGACTTGTTTTAAGACAGATTGTGAATCTGTCCTGTAAACCACCACCTGGGTTTTTCAAAGATCGCCAGTTACTCGTTTTATTATTCAGAAAAATACCGATGCTTAGCTCTGTGACAAATGTAAGGCACAAACTGGGGATCTGAAGCCCCACGTGGCATGGTGTGATTTTATATTTAACAATAAAACCTAATAAATAAATAAAAAAAACAACGTATTTCACACGTACGCTGTGATAATCGCAAATATGTAGTAAAATATTCACCACAATCCGAAAGCCTGCTGTTCTGAACAGCATGTAAACAAACCATGACGCGCATGAAATCCCTCCCACAATGCACCGCATACATCGGCTGAGCAGCCAGAGACGAGAACAACGGAGCAGCCTTGTCAACCCAAATAAACCGGCTGGATAAACGCTATTTAACGGGTTTAAAATAGCAGGGAGCGAGTTGGCGATAGTCTTTGCTTATTTGAAACATTACAGGGTAGTTCAGGGCGGATGCAGCGGTGATAGCCTCTCCTAGCGGCAGCTGGTGGCGGTGCTTTTTAGCATCAGCTAGCCGGTTAGCAGGTTTGGACTGACGGGGGGGGGAAGCTGTGTGAAAAGCTGCTGGTAACACGAACAAAGGGAAGGAAATATATAACCTTATATATTTAAAAAATACTTTAAAGTTGAATTTATATCTGCTTTTACAGATAGTCGTACGTAAAAAGCCAGTTAGGTTGTCGAGACTGACGTTAGCCAACTTAACTCAGCCATTGTTTAGGTGGTCTCAGGCTAACATCTGTAAATACTGGCTTTAGGGAGCTTTAGATAACAGATCGATCAAACACAATGAGCTCTGAGGAGACTGCACCGTCCACTAAATCCACTCCGGAGGATGATGGCATGACATGGTGGTACCGATGGCTCTGCAAAATAGCTGGGATTTTGGGAGGAATATGTAAGTACGTTAGTTGCCAAAGTACATTTCTTGTGTCACTAACAATAAGTAAATAAATAATAAGTCCACAGAAACTTTATATCCTGCCATAGTCGCTTGTATAGTGAAGACAACTGTGAGAGTGCTGTGTGCCAGGGGACATTTAAAGTTTGTGCTAGTTTCTCTAACAGACAGACAGACAGACAGACAGGCAGGTAGATTTATTGTCTTGTCAGCATACTTGCTACGTTTTATTACGTGAACTCTCTATCTCTGCATTCATTTGAGGTTGACATCCGAGACATAACGGAAAAGGTATTAGATTACTATTGGAAAGAAAAAAAAACCTGTTTTTGATTGTGTATAAACCTCACTTCAGCTGGCTCAGCCAGCACAGACAAAAGCTTTGCCACAGCCCCATTGTCCCCTCACTGCAGCAGCCACTGTCGGGCACCGCCTGTTTGCATGGCTGGCTCATTCCATAACAGTTTGTTCATCCTAAATGTACCATATAACACACGTAGTCCACAGCATGTACGAGGACTCTTTCCCTGAGGACAGTGGGAGACAGAAGTGGTTTTTTTTTACTGCTGGCTTTGCAGTTTTCCAGCAGCACTGCAGCCGTCTCTCCTTCTCTCCTTCACAGTGACACCAGAGTCACAGTGCCGGTATCACATGAACCACCTGGGGCACTGCATATTCAATGGGCTCTGTATTATTAAGGAGTCTGGATATGCTATGTGGCTTTTCCACTGTTTGTGGTGCTATGGGCTTGTCTGGCCTGAGAATTCACACATTATATCTTCTCACTATGGAGTTTCAGCCTGAAACGGTCGTGCGACTGAAACAGTTGAATCTCAAATGTGTCTGTATGGACTGGCAGTCAATGTATGTTTTAACATTTTGGCTCAATATCAAACAGTATGTCCGCTATAAATACCACAGATTTAGATTGTAAAGATAAATGCATAAATCACCAGCTATTCTGATCACGTGTTTTATGCCAAAATCTAAAATAAATGCTTAAAAGGGCCCTGACATTAGCACACCTACTAGAGTGTAACCACGAATAATCTTGGATTAGATACAGCTGTGTGTTTGTACAGTGTGTTTTCAACCTGAGCCTGATGTTGCCAGAATCATTGATTCACACACAAACACACACAGGATCAGTTATATATTTAAAATAAGCCATACATTCACTCTAGGAGATACACCTCATATGTTCCCTATGTGTTTATATATACTTCTAGGACTGCTATCATTCATTACTTTACTGATGCTGCGTTAATTGCTCTAGCTGACACACCTCTCCAATGTGTGACGTCGTCATATCACACGTTATTTCAAACCCTACCGAAGAGTAAGAGAAGAGAAAGTGTTTCACAGCCTTTTCACAACCTCGCCACCAGTGGTCTACTTATCACTGAGCCTGTGCATGTTAATATAAATCTATCTCATATTGCAGTATACGCATATTTTAGACAATTAATAGTCAGATATTGGCTCTATTTGTGTAGCACAGCGAAATAAGCAATGCAACTTTTAACTCAAATCGTAGCCATGGCAAAAGCTAAAGCAGGCCTATATTGAATTATCTTTAAAGGAATCTGTCTGAAACTAATTATCTTGTACATGAAAAATGGAGCCTGCTTTGATTTTGGCACGGTGGTAATTAGTGTTTCAAATGTAATATTAGTTATTAATTTTCAGGCAGTGCATGTTTATTAATGGTTTTTACATCCAGATATGAGTGCTGGATTCCATCATTTCATACAGCGTTCTTTGGATGTTTCCAAATGGCTTCACATATCAGGCACATCAAGACCAAATGATGCTGTTTTAAGACGTGTTTGTTTGTTGCACAGTTGCATCTTCGTTCTGTACGTGCTCCATATGTTCCGCATTGCTGATTTTCTTGTGATGTTTTATAGTGTGCAGGCAGTGGCATAAAAAGGAAACATTTTGTTATCATGTTTATTAAAACAAGAGTGAATTAACTGGATCTCTTAACAGCCAAATCCATCATTTTAAGATCTATTTTCCCTTTTGAGATATTTCAAAAATAAAATGCCAATAGTTAATGGTCAGACCAGAATATTTTCTGTGTAATAGCATTACTTGTCATATGTCTTATCTTAATAACGTCTCCTTTGCTTTGTCTTTTGTCCAAACAATGCAGCCTGTGCCATCGCAGGAGTGTGGAACTGTGTCACTGTGAACCCTTTAAACATTGCTGCTGGAGTATGGATGGTGTAAGTCTTAAACACTGTTACACTTACTTAAACGTTTATAAATAGTGTCATTCACATTTCATAAGCCAAGGCATTTTTATATTCTGTTTATGTACGGGAGCAAAAACAACACATGTACTATAAAACCTACTTTAAAACCACTTATTTATACTACAAAGCTATCTGTTCTGTCATCAAGTCTTCATTTAAGCTTAGGTCCATTCTTCTGTCCGAGTACGGTTGCACAATGAACGTCTTGTTTTAAACAGCCTGCTTGCATAAGACAATAGTTGAATTGTTTTACTGAAGTTTTAGCTAAGGTGTCACTGTCACAGTTACTGACACAGTTGTGAGCTGGTTCTAGATACATTCGATAAACACCAACTGAAAGTAACTGAAACTGAAAGTTGGATAGCTTAGCTTCAGTGCTTTCTAGAAATAAAAAAAAAAGAGTCAAAGAATTCTAAAATAATTAGTTGATGAATCAATTAGTTGATTGACAGAAAATAATAAGCAGGCTTATCGGGTCTGACAAAGCAAGACATTTGAACACTCACCTTGGAATCTGGGAAATGACTGGGCAGTGGCTGTTTTTCACTATTCATCCTTTATATAACATCTTTCAGACAATTCAATTAATCTAGAAAATAATTGTCAGGGTGATTGATGAAGAAAACAAACTGCCTTTTCAGTTTCCAGGGAGGAAAATGTCATGAGTAAGACCCTTTTTTTTATAGCAATGCAAGTAGTAGGAAGCAACTGCCCACACCTCTACAGATCAAGAAAGCGTTCATATAAAAAAACAGATTACAGAATAGGCTGTGCCTGACTGTCAGCCAAACTGACATCTGGCCAGTTTTATTCACTTAGAGCTGAAACAATTCATTGATTAGTTGGTGAACAGAATATTATAGTAATATTAAGAAACTATTTTATCGATTTATCATTGAAGTCAATTTTCGAGAAAAAAAAGGCAATTATTCATTAGTTTCAGCCTCTGACATCTGAGGATTTGCCATTTTTGTCTCATGAGCAAAAATCAAATCACATAATTACAATAATCGTAACTCGCAACCCACGTTTCACTAACCACCACTGTGCTGTTTCCATGACGGTAAACATGTGAGCACTAGAGTGCTCCAACCCAATTTAGATACTTTGGTGACAAATAATAATAATAATAATGGTTATTTTCAACCCATCTGCTGTGTTTAATTCCCTCAGACTTCCATTATATGATCCAGAGCTGTACAGTATTTGCACAAAATGATTCACCGCTGTGTTTGTGTCCTCTCCTCCTCTCTCAAGGTTGAATGCCTTCGTGCTGTTCCTGTGTGAGGTCCCATTCTGTTGCCAGTTCATAGAGTTTGCTAATGCAGTAGCAGCCCGTGCAGACAAACTCAAACCCTGGCAGAAAGCCTTCTTCTACTGCGGGTAAGAACTCTGCATCATACACGGTTCCTGTCAGTGGAGACTCTACTGCACTAGATGAAAAATTAAAATTTTGGAATGTGAATTTCTGATAGTTATTAACATTGCATAGGCGGTTGGGTATGCTTTTGGGAATGTGGTTCTTTTATACAGAGTATGTACTAAATATGGTTTACTGACTTTTGCGTTTGTCTGTTGATGGTTGTCCCCCTGGTTGCTCATTTTCAGGATGGCTCTGTTCCCCATAATATTGAAGTTCTCCTTTACAACCTTGTTTGGAAATGCCATCGCCTTTGCTACAGGAGTTCTGTACGGCCTCGCGTCCTTAGGCAAAAAGTAAGATGTCTGTTAGAAGCTGGTAACATGTAATGACATAATATATAAAAGCTCGTAAGAAAAAGAAAAATGTCAGGTATTCTATATAATTTATCATTTCAGTCTATTCTATTTGAGTAAAAGCTGTACAATACTGACATTTTGTAATTACTCATATGTCTCTCGTACCTTAAAAACATTCTTCTAACCTGTCATATTAAAACAGGCTCTCATATTAAATGCAATATTTCACAATATAATCGGTTAATAAGATTTTTATTTGATGCTTGGAAGTTGTAACAACCCTAATGAGCCTCTTAATTCATGCAAATTAACTCCTGACAAGGTGAGCTGTGCAATAACCTTGCAATTAACGTCATCTTTTCCTGTCATACCCACTTTTCCTTTGTTTCTACCCACCTCCCCTCGTCATAACTTTTTATCACCCTCCTTCTCTTGCATCCTTTCTTCTTCTCTCCCCCCCCCCTCTCTCTCAGGGGAGATGCAGTGACTTACGCCAGACTGCAGCATCAGAAACAGGGGGATGAAGAGAGGATGACAGGAACAACAAATGGCGCTCCAGAGTGAGGCTTCTGCCTTTCCGCCCTCCTCTTTTCTTCAGTTCTTATAGATAAAGTTTTTTCCAAGTCCTCCATCCATCCTACCTCTCCCTCCATGCCCCGTTCCTCTCCTATTTCTGTCACTACATAACAATGGTACTGGGTTATTTATTTACTTAAACTGCTGCATTCTTGTTACCTGACCTAATAGTATCCAAACAGATTGATGTTGGATTCAGTCCATTACTTGGTACCTGGAGTGTAAATGGGATCTCTCATTGTGATGCGATACCTTAGATTGTACGTTTTGTTTTTATGTTTGTACTTCTTCTTAAGGGTCATATTTATTATTTGTTTCCCTTTGTTGGTTGTTGCAGTTGTAAACCCTATTTTGCAGGAAAAATGTGAGGTACATCTCTGTAGCCCAAGAGCCTTTCAGGAAATCCGAAAGGAAATAAATGTGATTGTAAAATGTACATAATTGACTTCAGGTGACTTTGAGGCTGTGATTCAGAGTTGTGTGCTTTAGGACGGGGTAAAGGTAAGCCAAATGATACTTCGGTTGGGTGTGTCATCCTGTTTTTTGCAGCAACATTTGTATTGATCATTCTGTAACAAGTACAAAGCGAAACCGACATGGAACCTAGATAGATTGTTCTTTATATTCTTTGTATTTTTTTGCCAGTGTGAATGTAAACTAGGTCTTCAGTTGCATTCATAATGGTCTCAAAATGTCTTAAATTGAACCTGATGGAAATCCTTCTAATTCTGCCTTTAAGTGGTGAATGTATAAATGCTTCATAGAAGAGAAAACATGCTATGGTAACAGTGAAAACCAGTCCTATAAAAGTTTCCATCTAACTAAACTTTTTAAGTCAATACAGACTGGAATAGAGGACCAAGTTCTACTAAAGGCTGACTTTTAATCACAATTATTACCCAATTTAATGACAAGAAATCACAAATCTGTAAATAACCACGTTTTTCACATCTGAGTTGTTCTATTATGAGTCAGCCCAACATTATGATTATTAAATATTGGGAATCTGAAAAGAAAAAGAATAATTTTGGTGTTTCAGTATTACACCCACTGTGCATGCACAACTCTGAATTGCAGCCCAAATGCATTTTTAAACATACATAGGCATTAGGGACATTTTGTAACATTGGGGGAATGTATCTGGTATGCCCAAAGATAGATCTTTATTTTTGTTTTATGCTTTCTTATATTATTTTTTCAGTTGCTTTAAGCTCAGTTGCGGCATTCCTGCACTAAACTTTTGGTACAGAGGGAATTTCATCAAAAGCTTTACAGTGCATAGGACAGCTTGTTTACGTATAGTTCCTCATGATCCAGCAGCCAGTAGCCAAGTTGTGGCTGCAGATTTTGTGGCACAATATGTAATGAAAAATTGGAATGTGTGACTATTTGTTCTCCTGTTTAAAACATACCTTTTTTTGTTTTAGAATCGGTTACTGAATATCTGTTTTTATTATGAATCTTAATTAGAACACTCTACCAGAACCCATTAAAATTTAATGAGGGGATGTGTCTTGATTCAGGGACTAATTGGTCTGTATCCCACACGATCATCAGAGCCATGGTTTGCCTTTATCACTCAAATGAGGTATGCAGTGGTGAGCAATGTACGTTTTGTTTTTGTGTTTTGTTGCCTTGCCTCTGTTGTGTCATTGGTAATAAGGATGCTTTGGGAATAACTGTTTACACGTACCTCTTACAGCTATTTCTATCTTAATTCTATTACTGACTGGTCAGTAAGACTGAGTGGATTATTTACACATTACCACCAGCTCTCAGGTATCATACTTAAATTCACAGCATTGAGATACACAGTAGTTTATGCATAGATCATAGATATATGGTAACTACCACATAGTAAGCATGACTCTATGCATTTAACATTTAAAACATGCACAACCAGTGTTCACAAGTGATTAAACACTACTACACCAGCAGTATGCTACAGTTTGACACTACAATTGTAATAAGATGATAATGAAAACCACCATTTCCTTGTCCACGCCCATCCAGATTTCATTTCTTACAGTGACATGCATCTGTGACTCATGATTTGATTGATTTTACATCTGCAGGTGTTGAATGCATGTTTTGCTGTAAGGGATATGTGTATAATGTGTGTTGTGATGTGAATCCTAAACCTGTTATAAAATAGTGAATTAAACAAACTTGCTACTACTACCATGGTGTTGGCTTCTTTTTGACTTTTCCTCTTGCACCACAATGAGGTTTGCCTTTATGGTTTAGAGTGAAATAGCTTGACAACTATTGGATGGATTGCCATGAAATTTGCCACAGATATTCAAGGCTTATGAAGATCTAATCTACTAACTGCCTCCTTTGACTTTTTTGCCAATGCCACCAGTAAGCCAGGTTTTTGGCTTATTCAGGTAAATATCTCAAGATCTATGAAATGGCACATGATTTGGTATAGATACTCACGGCTCCCAGACGATATATTACCTTGTTGGTCACTTGACTGCCAGTAGCACCACTACTGTGAGGTTGAAATTTTAGTTTTCTATTAAAATATGTCAGTAACTACTGGATTGCTGTGAAATTTGGTACATACATTCATGGTCCACAGAGGATAAACCGTGATCTCCGAGTGAACTTTGCTCAGTGCTTTGGTTTATGACCAAACACCTGAAAAACTACATTCAAAGCAGCCTGCTGCACTTTGTGTTTAATGAGATGCCCTCGAGATATCTTTTAATATATTTAAAATACTCAGCTTTGAATAGTAATTTGTGTCTGATATGGTTAGCCCACAAAAAAGTTAACTATATTGAAAACATTTAAAAGATATATCAATTCCTTCAGTAAATATACTACTGGGCATAATATGTCCCCTGCTTCACTGGTAAGTTTATTCTCTGTGTGTGAGGTTTCCACATCACAGTTGCATAAGTTGCATGCTGGACCATGTATGTTCCAAACCATGTGTAATATTACAAATCATGCTTACACGTCTTCAGCTGAGTTTTAAGGGAGTAGAGAAACTTTCACCCTTCAGCAGATGAATGTGAAAACAGCAGTCTAGTGTCAAAGTCTACATCATTCTGCACCAACATCCAAGTAACACCACACAAAACACATTTTTGAGTGAAGGGCGACTTCAAATCAAATCAATGCACCTGTGATTTGGTCTCTTTGAATATCTGTTAGTTGTCTTGTATTGCTTTGAAAACTCGCATATCAAAGTAATGGTTGTTAGGGATCTCTTTTACAGTGAATAAATGCAACTAATTGCCATGTGACCCACAGTGTTTGTAATTGTGATTAACCTACTTCAGAGCTAGTCCTTTTCAATGAGACGCTTTCATTATTTTGTCTTCCCCTGTGTACATGAAACAGTGTTTGTGACATGAATGGCACTTGAAACCAGACCTGTGATTACTGGAACTGGATTGCTATTGGAGCATATTGAAATAAAGCATTTCATTAATTTGTATTAGTTCAAAGGCCACAAGGATAACTACCACTTTAATTTATCAAATAGTTTCATTTTTTTTATCGGGTATCTACTTTTGTTTGGATCTATAGACTAAGATAATATTTTTTCTGTATGTTTTTTTTTTATGTAAAGCCTACTGAGGAACTGAGACAACAACAAACAAGACATGTTATAAACAGGACAGATACTAATTAGGTATGTCTAATTACACCTAATGACTGTTTCCTGGTTATGTTTGTGTACAAGATGGAGTTATGTATAGATAAATATTCACCGTGGTTAGCCAATGTATGCATTATTGGAATACTACATATTATTTGGAACCACCAAGCACAGAAATACCCTCTTCTTTTAAGTAAGTGTAACACATTCACAAGTCTGAGTACCTTCACAATCTTCTTAAAGGTTTATACTTCTGGGAGTCAAGACTTTTCTTTCATTTTTTCTTTTATCAATGATCAAAGAACCATCTGAAAGAGGATTTCAGGCCATGCGTGCTGAAGAATTCTTCATAACATATAATTCTCATCACAGAAATCCAGGTTACCCAGGGGTTACCATTTTTCATATTATGTTTATATACTGCATTGAATCCTTGTGTTCTGTGTATGTGGTGCATGTGTCATATGTCAAAATGGACTGACATATGACATGTGGCATAATGCTGTGATTTTCCTTTATAGCAGCTGTAAAAATCGAATGGCGAGACTGAAAGCCACCTGACTTGACTGCAGAAGATATAAACGTGACATAATACTCATACAGCCAGATGGGAATCGCTGTACTGCTAATAGATGAAGCCAGTCTTTTATCATTTGTCACATTTGCCAAAAAGAGATGAGACTGTCTGGCATCATCAATCAAAGCTGGAGTGGGCAGTAAACCCTCCTACTGCATCCATGTTTTTAGTGCAGTAAGGAGGATACCAAACTTTTGGTTGTGACATAACATTAATACAGTAAAATTAGAGTGTAATTCTCAAATGCTTTATTCAAATTGTGCCAAACAGACTATTGAATATACGTCTTAATACATGTCTGGAGAGGATTGTATGTATTTATGTTATACTATTATCTTTTTCTTCTAATAATAATGCTATTCTTCTCCTCATTGTTACCAAATCAACCACACCCTTTGTGTCACTCTCTCACTTGTAAAGCTGAAGTTTGTTTAGTCATATTGTTGCCTTGCACGCATGTCAAATAGGTTTTATACATCACAGCAAAGAGTATTAATGTCTATCTGTGAGACGGACCTTACATGTGGATAGGATGTTAAAGGTTATATTAAAGGTTGTTTTTACTGGTTGTAGTTAATGATCGCCACCTCTCACCATTTAATCAAAACTGCATTATGCCTGCATTATCCCTCATTTGTGAGAAATCTTCTCTCACCTATAAAGCTTATTGTTATTCAGTCTAAATATCTTGCCCTTTTAGTGCAGATTAGAAGGATTTATTTGTGGCACTTGACTTCCTATTTCTCATATCAATAGATTAATTCATTTAATTGCCAAGGATTAGTTCATATAAGTGCATATCTGCTGCCTCTGAACTGTAAAGCTATAGACAAAGACTTTTATTTGTACTATGTATTGTAAAACGTACCTGGAAACATGCTAAAATGTGCACTTTAATTTCAGTAACCTTTATACTGAGTAATCAACAGAGGGCGCTGTTGCATAATTTCAAAAATAGGTCTTAGTTTTAATTATGTATTTAACCTAGTATTTAATTAATTATGTATTATACTACTACAACTTCTACTAGCACAAAGGGAGGATTCATTATGGGAATTGAACCTGTGATGCTCCACTTGCAGGCTGTTTATTTGCCTGCACATGCGTGGCAGGTTTAATTAATGATAATAATCATAATGCTCATTAATAATTAATACGGGCAGCTGCAGTGGCAATGGAAATGACAACAACATGAGGTGAAAGCTTGATAAGGGCTAAGCGTCATGAGAATCAACACTCCATCATTTCCACTTTACTGTATGACCAGCAACCATTTATTATCTGAGCAGAAATGTCATTTTGTCATTAAAACAATTTGTCATGCAGGTAATAATGGCTGTTTAGTGACTGAAGTCTTGTTATGTAGTAACAGACTCATTTGGACTCCTGTGGGGAAACTCAAACGGAGATAAAAATGGCAAAATGAAGTTTGTGTGATGATCAGCATTTGATCAGCATTCTGACTCTGTAATGCAGTTATAAAGCGCAAAATACAACATGAAAGACTTATTTTAGATCAAGAAAAATAGCCGAAGGCTCATAGCCTACAGTTAGCACTGTATGAGGCAATAAGGAAAGATGTGGCCTGATCTGAAAATGAAAAATAAGTTGTTCTTGATCTATGCAGAAGCATAGGTGGAAGCAGTACTCATTGTTCACTCAAATAAATAGTGCCATATATATACTCAAGTGCTAGTAAAAATATTATATATATATATATATATATATATATATATATAAATATACAAAAATAAAAATACAAACCTATTAACAACCAAAATGTATTTAAAGTAAAGATACTCATTATGCAGAATGGCATCTGTCAGTATTATATTACAGGAGTATTATTGTTATTATTGATGATTTAACATATAAGCAGTGCTTTAATGTTGTAGTTGGCCAAGGTGGAGTTGATTTTAACTGCTTTATGTACTTTTGTGTAGCTTAATCTATAACAATCCATCATATTTTCTGTGCAGTTAAAGTACCAAATCAACACTGTAAAAATACTCCACAACAAGTATAAACCTTACTACTAAGTATCAGTAAAATATCAAAAGTAAAAGTACTCCTTATGCAGAAAAACATTCCTTTTCTGTGTTTTAATGTATGTTTATGATCACAATTACTGCTGCATTAATGTGTATGTTGCTTTTTACTGCTGCAGTTAATTTGAACTACTTTTTTTAGCCTACTGTTAGGTAGGTTAATCTACAGCATTGCATCATATTCTATAAGATCATCAAATGTGAGAACCATGTATCTCTACAAAGCCAACTTTTCATGAGCTCAGAAACAGCTTTGTGACAATGAATGTTTCCAGCTAATCCAAGAGGGTTTTTAAACCCAACCCATAAAGGCACACTTAATCCTTCAGGTTATTACAAAAATGAAAAATGACCAAATTTTGAGATGCTACATGGTTTTCACAGGTTTTCAATAAAGCACAAGACAGTACTTGTGTGTGCATGTGCTCCTTTATTTCTCCTTTATTTGATCTCCCCCTCAGTAAATCCACCTCAGTCTCTCAGGAACAAGTATCACATTTTCATCTCCTGACTGGGGGTGGAGGGACTAACTTGTCCTCCCAGCTCCGGGTTGCATCATGCTTGGGAACTTTGCTCCAATGAGGGGGTTTGCTTTGTGCTTTGTGGAAGGACACACACACACACACACACACACACTCAGACACACACACACACACCAAATAAA